GTGATCCACCCGCCTCGGCCTCCCACAGTGCTGGGATTACAGGCTTGAGCCACCGCGCCCGGCCCGCCCCTACTGTTTTGTGAAACATTAAGAACCTTAGAGTCTGGGAAAGAGAAACAGTTCGAAGTCCTTAATCTATTCCAACCCTCTTATTTTGCAGAGAGGGAAACCAAAGCTGAGAGAGGAGGTGGAAACCCGGTTGTAGGAGTGAGTGGGGAAGGATTCACGGTCGTTCTGGTAGGTAGGAGTAGGGCCCGAGCAAGGAGTCCTGGTTTTTGAACCACCAGCTGGCCGTCTAGGAGTCTACAGTCCAGCAGTGGCAGTGTAGGCATTGTCCTTTCCCTAAGGACAATGGCTCTGGAGCAATAACCCAGCTTTGGGGGCTTTGGGGTGTCCCTCTTAATCCCGTAGCTCAGCCCATTCGGATACGCCAATTGGAAAGAGAGAGGGATAAGTCAACTGAGTACCTCTCTCTAACAGCTAAATCCCTCCCCTTCAGGGTTAAGATCGCGGCTACAGTGGTTAGCATCTCTGTTTCCTGTAGGCGGCTGTGTCATTGAACCTGTGTGATCAGACGCAAACCAGATCAGAATGACTTCAAAGCTTCGGTTCTCAAACATCAGGCGACAGTGCGTAGTCTGGTAGCAACTGGAAAAGTCCTGCTGAGATTTAGCCTCCTATACACACAGAGTCCCATACCGGACAGCCTGTATCAAACCCCCACGGCCATACGCTCACTGCTGTCTGCATACACTGAGGCAGGGCCTATAGATCGTGTCCACTGACTCATCTGGATTCCGCGGGGCGCCCATAAAGGACCACTGCCTCCAGACAGCAGCCAGCCAGCCCTCTCTCTTGGTTTCCTTCCTTTGAGTGGTGCAAAGGTTCACGGGTGCAACCTCAGAATGGGGCCCTAACTCAGCTGCGGGCGAGCTCCCGGAGTATCTTAATTCCTGCCTCATCTCTTTCCATTTTCCAGTTGCGCAAACTGCGGCTCAAAAAGACAAAGAACTTCTCCGGAGCGAAAAAGCTGCTTAGAATGTATCCAAAACTCCACACAGTAAGGACTGAATGAGGTCAAAACACCACCAAGGGTTAAAATCATGAAGCTGCTGAGCAGCGCGGAGGCCTAGAGAAACCCGGCCCCCCTTCCAACGCTCCTCCTTTTAACTTCCGGGCGGGACGCGACTTCCGGTTCCCGCG